TAACACTGGGGAGATCATTTAAGTTTGACAACCTTCAATCCAGCTGTTTTTGAAGCATTGTAATAAAATTTTTTGTGTTCCTTCACAGGCAGCTAGTGATCTACAATAAAAATAACCAATGATTCAATATTTTGTCCACCACAACCCAAGGTGTGTGTACATAGTTTTTACTAGTAAACAACTCTAACATGACTTTCCCTGGACAAGTAAAGTTGTCGGGTTTAAATAGAAATAAACACACTTACAATGATTTCCCAACTTCTTCTTTTCGTTCCCGTTTTCTTATATCCGATTCGTTAAACAAGTTTTTAAAGAAATTATCTAAAGCTGATAACGTGATGTTATCATTGAATCACCACCTTTTCGTGTATGGAAATGAATATTGTGTTTCCATATTGCTTAATTCACGATCAATATGGCGGTGGTCAGTAGCTCTATATATTTTTTATGATATTTATTTTATCTAACGAGTTTCGTACATCTCGACCAATTAATATGGCATTTAAGAATATTAATTGCATGGATTTGGACGGATTGGCTGCGGATGGCATAACCTTGAGTATTTGTAGAGATATTGCTTTTCGATGTCGGGTCAACATACAACGAGTTGGTTTTGAATCTAAATACAAAGTCTCATTTGCGATTGCTAAAGAACCGAAACATGGATTTGTTAGTCTAGTCCTATGTGCGAAGCCTTTTAAGCAGGATCTAACAATGTGTGTGGATGTTTCGTCTAATCCTGGTCCTCAATCTTTTGATAATAATCAGGCGGATAAGATGTATCAACATCGAAAGCAGTCACGTTTGATGAACACGTTTCGACCCGCTAATAATCCTGAGGAGCTTAGTTCAATGCTTGGGCAGTTGAATCTACAGAAAGGTTGTTGTTCCATATGACCTATAGGAATATTTTCTATAATACCTACTTGGCAAACACCTCCGCGACACTATACAATCACTATCATCATGCAAATCATCAGCCTGTAAACATATACGGCAGAAATGATATTAATTAAGAGAAACAATCTCATCAATATTCCTTTATCAAGCATTGCCAACACTCCTGATACAGCTGTTACTCAGCTTTGTTCTTTTGGTCTTCTCAACTGCCTGTCTATTCGAAACAAAGCCAATTTAGTCAAAGACTATGTGGTTGAGAATGAATTTGATATATTTGCGATAACAAAAACCTGGCTTCACCCTGACAAATTTGATCTTATATCTATTGGGAATTTCACCCCGAAGGGCTACTCTTTAAACATATCTCGAGACAACAAGGTAGATGGGGAGGCATTAGTATACTATACAACAACACTTAAAAGTCAAGCTGGACTCGGCGAACATGTTCACACACATTAAGTGTTTCGAACTGATAGGTATGCAAATCAATGTGTTATCTCAAATTCTAAATATAATCGTATTATATCGACCTCCATGTAGACGATAAGTCGGAATTAACAACAAAAAAAATTCTCAATCTTGTTGATTCTTTTAATCTGGAACAACAACCAACACACATTGCTGGTCACACGTTAGACCTTATCTTGTCTCGCCATGAGGAAAATATTGTTCAATCTATTGACGTTCATGATCCATCTATATCTGACTATTACACGGTTACATGTGAACTCAATTTTAAAAAAACATTGTTTCAGAGAAGGGTCGTGGAGTCACGTAAAATTAAAGCAATCAATATGGACTGATTCTTTAATGACATTAGGCTATCTCCGATTATCACTGGGAACACGGCTGATATTAGTGCGAAAGTCAACCAATACAACTCGGAGCTGTCCAGAATTCTGGATCATCATGCACCACTATCACCAGAGTGATAATTAGTCGTCCAGCTGCACCTTGGTACACTGAACAAATTAAAAACGAAAAACGTATCAGAAGGAAACTCGAGCGGGTATGGCGTAAGTCAAGACAATCCTGTGATCGTCTAAAATACAGTCAGTCATGTCACCGTGTCAGTGAGCTATTATCGGAAAGTCGTACTCATTACTATTCTGAAATTGTTAGAGATAATGGGAGTGACCAAAAGCAATTATTTAAAACCGTTGGAAAGTTTCATACATCATACCAATCTGATCAGAATCTAGCTAACAATTTTATGACTTTCTTTGAGGACAAAATTTTGTAATAATGTAATGTTTTGGTATTTTGATTTTTGTTTAAGTTCGTGATGTATTTCTATGTAGCCTCAGTCTTATCCTAATGGGAATTTTTTTTAGATGTGAAGAGAGGACGGCCATTCGAATTAAAGTACTAAATGTGCTTTGTAAGATATTAGGAACGTCATCTCCACTATATGAGGTATAAAATGTTGGTACTTTGAATAAATTTTAGTCCATTTTTCTAGACATTAGCGATATTATGAATTTTTTTTTTAGTTTTGTAACTCCTTGTTTTTTACAGGGAGAAATACTTGAGAATTCAGTGTTGCCACATTTAGACCACATTGCGAAAGATCGGGATATTTTTGTGCAGATCCGAGCTGTCCAGTTTCTTGTCGATGTTATTGAATCCTCTGATTCACCGAAAGTTTGCGATGTTTTGCATATAATCGAGAAGGTACTCAATACAATCCTTTTCAGTTGGTTTCATTTCTCCACTCCAATTTGCCTCTTCATTAGTGATGAGCTGATACTGTACTTCAATAAAAAACTCTCTCTTATCAGTGAAAGCTTCCTGACCTGAACCCAACCATATACCCGCGAATTGGATCGTTTTACACGGGAGTCGTGAATGCAAACGCATCAGTGAAGTAAAAGGATATATATTTCATTTATCAATTCCAGATTGCCACTGTCCAGTAGATCCTCTCAAGCGATACGTTAAGCCGTCGTGTAAAGAACATGTAAGGTAATTATAGAGACTGCAAGGTATTTGTAGGAACATCTAGAGACATATAATTACATCTAATCACTGTAGATTGCCTTTGTTGCTGCAGCCTCAGGATGAAACAGCGTAGAAAGACATCAAAGAGGCTGCATTAGGATTAGTACGGGGAACTATTTTGGCTTCAAGCTAGATAGGGATTTTTGTCAGGACTTATCGTTCCAGTTGTATAAAATGAAACTATTCACAATGAATTCCAAATCGTAATTCATCATGGTATCAATGCCCCCCCCTCCTCTCTCTTTCAAAAATTAGGCCCATGTTCCATTTTTAATTTAATAAGTGGGTTCTTTATAAAGTGATAAGCTAGCTAAAGCTAATGTTTCCAAACTATTTCCACATCAACATATGCTATATTTTTGTGCCGAAGATTAGTGGATATAAATAACATTGGAGAGAACGAAAGGTTCCAGTGACGTTAGAGGTACTATTATTGTTTTCAAGTTTCTTCATAACTTACCTGTGTGTTCATTATATATATATATATATATAATATATATATATATATATATATATATATATATATATTATAATATATTATATATATATATATATATATATATATATATATATATATATTATATTATATATATATATAATATATATATATTATATATATATATATATATATAATATATATATATATATATTATATACTTGATATTGCCAGACATTTGAATATTTGTGATTTGAATAATTCAACTCAGGCTTTCATTCCATTTCTATCCTTAGGTCTCAGATTATCCTAAGGGATTTGTTGTTGTCTGTGGTGGTTTTAGAACAATGGTATGTACCAGATGCTGCTGTACCAGCCATATAATAACAAAAGGATAAGATACCGGTTATTTCTGTAAATTGAAGTTTTACATTTTGTGCACCATTTTGCTTTTGTTTTCCAGCATCTTTTCACATCAGAGAGGAGAGAGGAATTGCTGAAAAAGATGATGGAATCTTCTTTCAATAATGTTGGTGTTATGATAAAGTATGTGAACATTTTAAGTAAACAAATTTTAAGTAAATGACAAAATGACTTACATTCAGGTTACTTTATTTACGTTTTAACCGTTTTTGACAAAATTCTTTCCAGGTCTGTAATTTACTTTGAGCTGTATTTGTTATTTCTTTTGCCTCAGTTTTAGGCAGAAGAAAAGTTCCATCAAAGTGGAGTCGTTTTTTAAAACAAATTTGGAAAATACAGTTGAATGATATATTGTTAAGACAGTATTTCGTTTGTCCTGTGTAAAGAATGTGAGATATGACAGTAAATGACAAATTTTTCGTCTCAGTGATGACGAACATATCACATCAATGTCAGAATTCAGCGTCTATAAAGAAACTCCTCGGATTAAAGTGAGTTATGTTGTTAATAAAATTTTTCTAAGAGTCTATCCTTTTTCTCATTTTAAAATCGTTTTGACACTGTCAAATTTAGGATCCTGTTCAAAGAACGCTGTGTTTCTTAGAAAGGTGTCTTTTGGAAAGAGATCCCGCGACGTACAATATCGTCACCCTTCATCCCCTTAGCTCATTAAGTCATGCGACATTCCATGTCAGTTCCAGTAATTGTTCATGTCTGACCTTGAAAAAAAACACTCCAAACACTCCAAACACTCCATGTCTTCTGACCTGGATTCACGTTTACTGCTTTTATCGTCCTTTTTATTTCACGTTTCCATTTTGAACATGTCCAATTGCAAAAAAGTATCCAGCCGAGTTAAAATACTTTTATTTTTGTAGTTACTTTCCAGAATTTACCGTATATACCGTATAGAATATTATAGTTTTCAAACTTCTTTTGCTGTCAGATATTTTCAAAATTTGCTATCGAAACCATCCTCAGTTGTTGGGGCGGAATACACAAGCGGTCGGCTGAGAAATTACTCGTCTCCTGACAGGTAGTGTAAGAAAGCAAATTTTGTATGAAGCTATAAAAAATATTTCTTGTTTTGAATGTTTGTATTTCACTCAATCTGGGATACATTATTGGCTGGTTTGCTAGACGGTGTTAGAGCCAGTTGAAACGGAGATGTTTGCGTAAAAACGACCCCAACGAAGAAAAGTACTGTACGCTTATTCATAGATGATTGAGCGAAAATTATGGTCAAAATTTTCCTGATGAAAATCTTGTACTGCTATGATTACCCTAAATACGATCCCTCATTTCATTCTCCTGCTGACGTATGTGATCTCATATAACACACCAACAATTACACTTCTCGTCAGGTATCAGGCAATAGCATTATTCCTATTAGCCAGTTCAATACATTACATACAGCAAAAAGAGAATTGTTTTTTTAAGATGATATATTTTTCAAGGTTATCGTTGGGGTCCATTGTATAATGTTGTTGACGAAGAAGTAGAAAGCAGTAATTTAAATTCCTTGCTGCGTCTCCAGGTGAAATATTTCTCTTTTTATTTCACTTTAAATTTTTGAAATATCTCCAAAAGCTTATATTGTCTTATGACTGGTTCCTTGCAGGAAATTTAACCGAGGCTGTGTACAGATTTAACTGCAATATTTCCTACTGCGGTCTACTTCATGCAGTCACCCAAGACGTAAGTTGACAACTTCTTATCTTGTACTTTTCTGCAGACAAAATCCTGTGTAGAGAATATTATTGCCTTTTTATTGAGTTTTAATGTTCTGTCAAAATCTGGATTAAGGCTGTTTTCCACTCACGTGTTTTTTATACGCACGTACACGCACGTAAAAATCTAAATCCTTGTTCATGCTACCTTTGAAAGGACTAAGTGAATAAATCGACCTACAATCATGTGCAAAAATTATTGGGACACGGTCATGACACCTAGTATCTACCCCCTCTCCCCCAAAACAATGTTGTTTCTATGATACCAAGCCATTTGATTTGCCGAAAATATCACTCTCAACATTGTCAATGGGGGAAGGGGGGATAGTAAATAGTTTAACAAAATTCGTGACATAATAGTTGTCAAAATGAAAAAAAATGTGATTAAGATACGTAAAGTTTCATAATTTTTGCACATGATTGTAGATGCACGTTAATTAATAAAAATTTAAAAGCATTTAAATTCTCCGTATGTGTACATGCGTATAAAAAACGCGTAAGTAGAAAGCAGCCTTTAGTGTAAACTAAGCGATTGCTAGGCTGCATAGTTACGCCAAATGAAAACATTTGCCCATTTCGGCTTCTAATTGAAAACATTTAGCAGGGTTTAAAACGTCTGCAAACAACACGGTACATTTAAACTGGTTTATCCAGTATAGGCAAAGAGTATGGTTTTAATAAAAATACCCTAACCTGCTACTGTTCTGTACACAAATGTAGACAAAACACTAATAGTACTCCCTAAAAACCACCGTAACTCCAGCCTAGTCCCAGGCCTCTCATTGCGCGTGTTTTATATTTCCGTCACGTCACCGAATGAAACGCGCACGAGAGGCCTAACACAAAATATTTTCTAATCTTAACGGCCCATTTAATGTTGTGAACTTGAAATTAGAATTGTTTTTAAAGTAAATGTTTGCAATTTACAACAGTAACCGTTATAAAGGAAGCGAGAATAATTTAAATGGGTGGATAGAAGTTTATTATAATCATAAACATGTACGTACGGACTCGAGTTTTCTTGATAGTCGATAGCGTTGACGGCGAACGACATTGAAACGTTTGTATGAATATTTCGACTCCTGGCAGTATAATTAATATCCTGTAGCTTATTTCAAGCAAATATTTGACTAACGACGTCGAACAAGGCCAGTTAACCGCGTCGTAGATCGTAAACTGACCTCAATACAGAAAATGGGGAAAAAAGTCCCCACATTAGCCAAAATACAAAACATTTTGTTCTAGGCCTCTCAGTTCCCGCCTCGCCGCGTATAAGGAACGTTAAGAGGCCTAGGGACTAGGCTGCGGTAACTCTGGTTGCAGAGTTGACTGGGTCCGAATCCATGAAATGGTAGTTTTGAAATTTTCTCGCCAGAAGTACAGCTGGAATATTAAGTCTTTTAAACTCCAATATATATTTCAAACGATTTTAAATATTTTGTAGGACTTTTCTCGGGGAATAAAGAAAGACTTATCATTAATGCCATCACAATGCTCATTGCTCACGAAGGTATTGTATATCTTTGCCAATAAATTTATTTAGTGTTCAACCCTAAAATATACATATTCTGACTGCTATTACCTTCACAGGTGTTCTATATATACATAAAATAATTAAAAAGTTTCGTCTATTTCAGGAGACCAAACAAATATGAGATAAAGATCTCGAAGCACTGTTTCACGATTTGAGAAGTTGGGTTCGATCAAAGCAGGTTTCGCGCTTTCACAACGCTCACTAGGCGAGAAACGTTTATCTTTAACTGCAACATGCTGTTTACTCAACCAGTTCACTTCCGTGAGAAGGTTGGTGTGAAAACTGTGAAAGCTTTGAAGAGGAATAATGAAGCCGTGACTCACGCCGCTGTCGACATGTTGTGCGTGCTCTATGGCAGGTAAAGACAGGGCTTTTCTTTAAGTGGCCAAAATGGTCAGACCGGACATATTTAAATTTAAAAAAGAGTATTTCGTTCAGAATATAGCGGCGAAATTTCCGAGCTAAATAGATGCAAGAAACGAAATACGTAAACTCAGCCAACTTTGAAATTTGCATGTTAACAGGATCCAATTTTATCGAAACCAATTCTGTTGTTTTTATAGCTAAGGCACGATAACTATGACATTCGACAAGAACAGGTAAACAAAAGCTCTCTGTTATCCTGTGAAAAATTTCCAAGCAGTTTGTTAGGAATTCTCACGATAAATGTGGTAAGATGTGTGGTTTTGGTTGCCTATAATCTATGCTGAACCAATTCATTTTATTTTTCAATCCCTCTTGTATGTATATAGCCTTGTTTTGGAAGAGAAATTCCCTTGCAAAACTCAGCAAGTGATTTGTAGCAACTGCCTTTGTAATTTGGACTACCTTTCTAATTAACACAGGAAATAGATTAACCATGAAAACTTTTGTTCTAGAATCGTTCCACTGGGGTTTAGGTATAAGTGGATTGCTTGATTTTTTGACGTTTGCTCTGTGTCCTCCTTATAGGTGAAGTTCAAGTTGCTTTGCAATATATCAAAATAATGTGGGGGGTGAAGTTGGACATTCATGTTAAACTAATAGTAAGGTGTGATTGCTTCTAATATTTTGAATCAATCATGTGGTCTGTTATAATAAATCGACTATTGCATATTCCTCTTAGTGAGACAACAGACGATGAACAGTTTGGGAAATTACTGGAGAAAGTTGCAGGTATGCTACAAAGAGATTTGAGGAGTTTTCATTCAACTTGCCTTCTTAGTAGTTTATAGCTCTTTGACTGACGTTGAGAGTTGATTAAATTGCCTTTCTCTCTTACATTTTGTGAAGTCTACCACGACCACTAGCTTGACCTATGCATGGGAGCAACTCATGAAGTCTGTTATTTGTGTGTCTAGAAATCGGTCATTGCATTTATCGATTGTTCCAGGTAGGTTTACGATAAAACGCAATAAATAGTACCAATTTTACCATTTCTTCGCTTATGTATGTTTTACTATTGCCCCGCTAATAGTTCTTACCAATCGTGGTTTTGAATTCGTTCCTCAACAATTTCAGCATCCGTCGACAACAATTGTGAAAGGTGCTGGTATGGTTCTGAAGGCGATAAGAGGTACGTTTTATTCATTCATTGATCCATTCAGAATTTTCTGCTTTTGACGAACGTCATTTATAATGCTCTGCCCTTTTTTAGCTCTGATGAATGTACATATTAGTTCAGTTGATATTTAAGAGTTTTAAAGCGTCTAATTTGAGAAGTATATACACACTTCAAATTCAAGCCAGGAACAGTTGAGGAAAAATGAGTCAACTATAGATCCTCCGGCAGGAATCGCTTTTGCGATGCCGGTGCAATGCTCTTGTCACTGAGAACGTATAGTTGACTAATTTTTCCATCAACTGTTCCTGGCTTGAATTTGAAGTGTGTATAATACCACACGAAATTAAGACCCTTTAAAACCTCTAGAATATTCCTGCACCGTGTGAAGTGCCTAAAATCATCTGTTGATATTTATTTAGAACTTCACTTTAGGAAGCTGATGAAGAAACCGCGGCAAAATACAAGATTTGGCGCTTGCCAAGGGCGCTCTACCAAAACGCTTACGCATGGCCATGATTACGCAAAGCACTGATAGACGTTCGCTACTGAACAGGTGCGAATTAGTGTGATAAATTAACAAATTGTTGCAGATGTATAGCCTCGATTCCATCCGGAGGACCTGAGTTGTATTTTAGCAACATTCTTAGATTCATCTTAAAACTTGTGATTTTATAATCCTCTATATACTAGCCATCTGTAAATAGTTCAATTGAGACTAACAAGCATACTCCATAAGTAATTTTAATCTTTATTGTTGGCATATAGGCAATTGAGTGGACATCTAGTGGCTCTCTGGACAACTGGTCATCCAAGAGCAATGGCATTACTTGTGAGAATAATGTTCGTATTAAAGCAGTTATAGTTTTTAATGTCTAAAATATACAATAAAGTTTAAATGCGGGATTTCCTGTTCGTAAGTTTTGGTTCATAAACCATTATGTAATAAATTTGAATACGATTTTCACAGCCTGCTGGTTTGCTCTATTACCTTGAAAGCCCTGACGAGGTAGGAAATCTTTGAGAATTTTTTGCGAGGGCCATTATTTACATAAACCCATTGCAGTGGTTCTGACTAACCAATCATAATAGTGACTAAGTGGTATCAACTGCTTTGGTAACTAAACTCCATCATTCATCCTTATACTGTGCCAACTGCCCCACTGACGAAATAATTACATAGTAATTCATTCAGAAGTGTAAAACCTTTTTGTAAAGAAGCAATTTTGTTGGAAAGTTTTTATCTTTCCTTCAGCCACGGAGACTAAAGAAGATCATTTATCAATTCGTGACAATGTAAAGCTTGCAGAGTACGTTTTAAAGCAACAATCGTGTTCCAAAATTTCATGATGCATGCTTGTATGTACGTATAAGCCTGTTATTTCACGCGCTATACTTGTCTGTTACAGCTCAGGAAAAGCGAGAGGAACGTCAAGGAATCAACTTGAAGGATATCCTCGCATTGGAGGACAAAAATAGGATTCAAAGCCAGGAAGATGTGAGAATTTAAATCCAGTTGTTTTATTACAAGTAAGTGTTCATATTAAGAAAATGGGAAATGTTCTAGTCGTTTGAAAGATGAAAAAGCAATGGTATTTAAACGGATCTTTTTTACAGATTCAGTCAAGATCTGACAGCGTACAACCTGATTTGGAATTACAAGGTGAGTCTCGAAGTTAAAGTTAGTTTCCATTGAAAATATAGGAAATGAAAAGGTAATGGAGAATTTCCTGTCGCTATGAGTATAACAAGACAATTCAATAGTCCTGACCTCTTTCTCTAAACTGTTGTCGTAAAAGAGTATGAAAAAATTTTTTTGTTTTCAATGTGACAGACGCGAGAGGAACTTCTGGGGCT